AGGGGCGCGCGGGCCCACCCGTCCCATTCATAAAGTGTGCGGAGCACGTGCGCGGGGAGAAACGGGAGAGGAACGAGAGGAAAATGGGAGAGGAACGGGGAGGAACGGGATGGGCAAGGCCTGGGAAGGCGGTTAAGGGGGTCAACACCTCGTTGTGGGGCACAGAGCTGGCTGGGGAGGGGGACAGCAGTGTGTCCCACCGGGGCTGCACCCCCACACACCGGGGCTGGACCTCCCCGGTTTGCCGGGGGTGGCACCGGAGGCCCCGCGGAGCTGGTGCCACGTTGCACAACGCAGCTGGAGGGTGGCCCTGCCCTTCCCGGGAGTGTTGGTGCAATAGGTGTTGCAACTGACCCCAAAAGTGAGGGCTGTGCCCCCTCCCCCCGCCCAAGGCCAGGGAAGAGCTCCCCGGGCTCAGGGATGGGGGAGAAGGGGATTAGGAGCAGCTCCAGCCTGGCAGAGTAAGGGTTGAGCCTTGTGCTCCCCTTCCCAGCACTCATCCTTCAAGGAGAATAGGAATTCTCCTGGTGCTGAGTGGGGAATTTCAGCCTTTCACTTCCTGTGTTATTCCCTTTTCCCTGGAAGCACCAAGGGACAGGTTTGGGGGTGGAAGGGACATGGAAAACTGGATCTGGCATGTCTCAGTGGAGCCCAGAGATGGAGGAAGGGGCTGGAATCACACCCTGGGGGCTCCTCGGCCCCCTCTCCGCTCAGCCTGAGTTTTCCAGCAGGATGTATTCCCTATGGAAGACAAAGTCCCGATTTTCCGTTGCAGAGGAGCTGCTCCCAGAGCTGCTCCCGTGCCATCACCACCCCTATCCATGTGACAGGGCAGGGGACAAGGGAAGAATCAGCCTTTGTGTTCCTCGGAACACAAACAATCCCAGCAGCACATTCCAGGGGCAGTGACAGCAGCCAGGACACCTCATTCCCAAAGGGAATGCCAAGCTCTGGGATGATCACTTGGGATAAAGGGTCAGCCCAAGTACTAGTTTCCCTCGGGGAGGTGTCCTGGCTCTCTTTCCAGGCCTGCTGGAGATTCAGGATGGGTCAGATCCCATTCCAGGGCCACTCCCCAGCCCTGCCCCGGGTTGGTTTCGAGATGAGGAGTGATACAGCATCCCAAACTGAGCCATTCCCACAGCCAAACTCCAAGGAATGTCTTCCCAAAGGAGAGAAAAAAAAAGGCCATTCATTCATTATTCCTGGTTCTCCCTCCAGGACAGGGAGAACCAACTCCTTCCACAGCCTCAGGCAGCACCTGATGAGCTAATTTGTTCCTTTTAAAGGTGCCTAGAAGAGGAAAGAGGAATTCCAAGAGGAATTGGGCTAGGCTGAAGCTGAGGTTATCCCAGGATTTTCCAGCCCTGACTTCCCTTCCTGCACCCATCAGGAAATAACAAGAGAGGGAAAACTAACACGACTGGCCTTCTCCCTGCTGGAAAAGGCAGAGCTGGAGGTGGGAGGAGGATTGGCTTTGCCAAGGGATGAAACACAGGGAAAACTCCTCATTTCCACCATTATATTGAGGAACGATCCTTATTTTCCAGGATAATCCCCACCCTGGCCATGGCACAGACCGGATTTGGCTCTTCCCCACCAGCCAAGGCTGTTAGGTTCAAGGCTGAAATGGGAATTTACCCTGGAATTGTTATTTAAAATTTGAATTTAGCCTGGAATTGTGATTTTAAATTGGAATTTCCCCTGGAATTCCATTCCCAAGGCCTCTGACCTTCCCAGAGCAGCACAGAGCAGGATCCAGGCAGC